TAAATCAATAGGCTAGATAATAATACAGTGCTCAAATATATAGGAGCATGATGTTATAAATCGTATCAAACATTTCATCAACGAAAGCTCCTTACTGTGTTATAATACGAAAAAAGGAGTCTCTTTTGGGAATCGAACCCGCAATCCCTCGCTATCTTGGTGAACGTCATACCGTTTAGACCACAGAGGCCCGTGCGATAATTACGGCTCTAAGACAACTAATCTGTATATAAATATATAATTAAATCCATTGGCGGATCTGGGGGGGGGGTGGGGAGTCAGGGTCCACCCCCCACCCCCCACCTTGAGCTGCCAAGCTAAAAAAATACTAGACCTACCTTTTCAGGACCTGAGCAGAAATTGTTTTTTTTAAACCTAAAAATAAAAATCATCATGCAAAACTTACCCTTATTATTATTATTATTATTATTATTATTATTATTATTATTATTATTATTATTATTATTATTATTATATTTTATTTTCAAAAGTAAAGTGCGTTTTTCATGCCTATGGGCTCATCGATTCATTTGAAAAAGTATACGTATGCAACTATTTAATTTCTATTTCTGTTTGTATAATAAGCCTAGGCCTATTTAATGTAATAAGAATGAGAAAATTTACCTGACCGTTTTCAAGAGGGGAAAACGTTGAATTTTGAAGAACTTAAAAGTTATTAAAAGACACCTCAGAAGTCAGAAAGGTCATTTTCCGCCATCTAGGAATCAAAATTTTCCCCGGGGAGGACCCCCGGACCCCCTTTCATGTTGTGGATTTTGAAACATTTTGACACCCCCCTCCCCGTAAAATTGATCCCAGATCCGCCCCTGAAATCAATATGCATACAATATTGTTTAGTTCTTTGAGGAATCATCATTGAAGCTCATTTGAGATTGTACCTTAGCTATGAAACAAGCAATCCAAGAGAGCACTACATACAGTGGACCAGCAAAATGTAACAGTAATGGTACTTGTACTTGACAAATCACATGTTGAGGAGCTATAATTAAATCAATTCACATACAATGTTGTTTTGTCCTTCGAGGACTCATCAGTGCAGCCCAGATATAAATAAGCAATTGGAATCAAATCCAGAATGTATCTTGTTAAATTCATTCAATAAAGTTGCAATCAATAAAGTGGTTTGTCTTGTTATAATAGACCTATTAGTCACACAACTTGTTACATGCATTTACATATTCGTTAATTGAAAATTTGTAACATTGCTATACGGATATAAATGAACGTATATATATATATATATATATATATATATGGATATATATATCTTTATATATATGTATATATACATATATATATATATATACATCTTTATATATATATATACATCCATCTTTAATACAATTTTTTTCATCAAATTTTGATCTTTCGATCTTCTTTTTAGACTTACTTATGGAAGTTTCTGTGCGTTACCGATCGGAAAATGTCGCAAACACAACTGTATGTGCTGGTAAAGGATGTTATGTTTACTTCGAGTCTCTATGTGCAACCGCTGACTGCAAAGGCATGACGAAAATCGCGTTACCTACTAGCAAATCCGTGAACTATCAAACGCCTCAAAAATCGGAAAAACTTTTGGAATTTACCGACAGAATTCTCTACAACATGAAATACGGGTAATTTAAATGCGAGATCTACAATTTAGATATTTTTTTCTCGTGAAGTGTTTAACTTAGCAGACATTCTTATGTTAAAATATCTTACTTTAGTGTAAAATGTTTTCGAAAAAGTATAAATTATATAGAAATATTCATCAAACGTAACGGAAGAGGAATCTGATTGAGAATGAAATGCAAGCCACGCCCAACAATAAAAAACAGGCCACACCCAATCAATAAATTGTATTGTAAGCTGTCAGACCGTCGCCTGATTTTGAATAATACAGGCTTTTATTATTATTATCATTATAATTTGGACTAATATTCTATTGACGTATGTATGAATTTATTTTCATTTTTTTGATTGAAAAATTACGCTATAATACTTCGTTTCTTTGATGTGGTTAGGCCTATTATACCAAATGCGAAAGATGTTTACTTATAATCATGATATAATGATGACAAAAATCAGTGTGGCATATTAGATTTGATATAGGCCCTATTCAATGTAGACTCTGGGCCTATTTTTGCATTTTAATACTTTTAAAAAATAATACAATGATACTAATTCTACTATTTTTGTGATTTGTTTTCAGTATCGTTTTCACGTACGATGAAAGTGACAACTGCGTGTATGCTATGCGTCTCTGTAACAGTATGGTATTTATGTACAGTCCCCAATTTCAGACCGGACCTGATTATCCAATCAAATTGCAACGCGGACATAGAGTCAAAGTTTACGATTGCAATGTACACCGAATGTCGGCATGTGCAATAACTGAAGAGACCACGACGAAATCGGACCCTTGCGTGTTTTTCAGCGTTGCGCAAAAATGGCGGCCAATTGTATTGAACGAAGATCGATTTAGTGCGAATTTTCTCCCTGAAAATTTACCATTACACGATTGTCTTGTCTCGATTGCTTTAAAATTACACATAACTGAGAATGTTCCTAGAGTTGTTACGCAGAAAATCACGGAAGGATCACCTATACGAAAAGAATACGACATCACTGTTTGTGGCTATAATGAGCCAATCAGAGGAAAGGCAGCATCGGCCGAACGTTTGCATCAGTTCATAAATCAACTTTGTGCCCGAGTTCCTTCGATGAAAGAGAAACTCAACGATTTTGAGAGAAGGCTGATGCAATTTGAGGCGTCTTCATCACATATCAGAAATGAATTCCATGAGCTCGTGAAAGAGGCTACAGAAAAATCGACAACGTAGGAGAAAAATGTCAAGGTAATGAAGATATTGTGTATATTAGACATGATGATTATTGTTAACGATCATTACGTCATTTAAACATAATTAGAAAAGAAGAAAATTATTACATAGGCCTAAAAATTTTGTAAAAATCGATTTATCATCGAATGCTGTGTTTTATAACTGACTATTCATCTTGGACTTTGTATCCAATACGTTAATTTTGTGCAACTACACACTACTACATAAATTTGCCGGCGTTAATCTTGCGTGTTACAATTAATTTCAACAATTTTATACATGTGTTTAATAGTTTACTGTTACGCAAGAAATTCGATTTTAATTCTTATACTTTCAGTACAATCTTTCAATCTCAGTTACTCTCACAATGAACAATACTTTGTGTAAAAGTTTCTTTAATTAAAACCGGCAATGCAATATTATATCTTAAGCTGTGTGTTCAATGCAGTTTTTTTCCCAACACCCAACTTCACATAAATTTGCCAGCGTTAGTCTTCAACACAATGTTGCAATGCTTGGGCTGCCAGCTCAAATCACTGTCGCCGCGTCATAATTTTGACGAGTGTCCTGAATTGAACTAGGTAATTCCATGCTTGCGATATGTGTTTAATTCTATACTGCTACGCAAGTCAATTTTAGTTTTTTAGTCTAATAATTATAACTCAATTAAAGACTAATATGAATAAGCTACATATATTACGTAAAACAACTCCGAATGCGGAGGTACAAACGCGCATATTGGTTCATTCCGCTTGAGCCAAGGCGCATGTCGTCACGAGTGTGAGAACTTGCGTGCGTGGTTATTATCAATATTATGGGCATTATTATGATAGTATTAAATATGTTTGTTAGGCCTTATATTATAATATGTTTTATAATATGTTAAACAAATACAATGCAATATAAGTAGATCTATACCTTAATGACAAACACCTTTGGTGGTATGTATATATATAAGTTATGCAGATGTAATTAAAAAAATATAAGCCAAATAATAATAATAATAATAATAATAACAGTGATAAAATAATAATGAAAATGATAATATGCTTTTTATTAATAGTAATACAATTGTTATATTTGTGGTAATAGACATAATACTAATACAATAGTAGAAATAATAATAATAATAATAATAATAATAATAATAATAATATAGGAGTAATAATAACATTGTTAATAACAACAACAATAATTAAGATAATGACAATGATAATATTAATAACAATGATAATATAGTAACAGCAGCAACAACATGATAATGACAATGATGATGATGAATAATGATAAACATAAAGATGAAGTTGACAGTGAAAATAACAATGGCAACGATAATGATTTAAAAAAATAATGATAAAGGCAACGATTACGATAATAATAATAATAATAATAATAATGATAATAATAATAATAATATTAATAATAATAATAATAATAATAATAATAATAATAATAATAATAATAATAATAATAATAATTTGTTTTAATTTTTTTTTTTATAAAGGGTAACCCTTCCAGCGTATCCTAGATGGTCGACTGATATTCAGGGCCCTCTTTAACTAAATGAAATAATGACAGTGATAATAATTAAATAATGATGATAAAGCTAGTGATAGTTAATGTTAAATGATAGTAGCATTAATTATGATAATAATAATAATAATAATAATAATAATAATAATAATAATAATAATGAGTTATAATTCATATTTTATACTTGAAGTGCGGTGAGAGAATGTATCCAATGTGTAAGGCAAAACTATCGTATATTATTAAAATACTGTACATAAATTAAGAGAAGTAATTTCTACTCATTATGATAAATATAATCAACATAAATGATAGGGCGTAGTTGAAAATGTCATAATTTGGCATGATTGCTGTTATTCCAATATTTACACTACAACTTTTTAGCTCAGCGATCTGGGAATTTCCATTTTTATTTGCATACAATATTTAATGACACAACGTTGGAAATTCCAACAACGCGATTCATGTGAATAAACACGACGAAGCAATATTGTACTTGACCTTTGCTCTTGTACCGTATATGTTATAATCAATATATTAACGAGGGCTTGTATAACACTATTTACCTATCTACAAAGATACGCTATCGTATAAATATATTATACAGGATTTTATACAGATGTTTTTAACTTTTATATATCCAGTGGCGGATTCAAGGAAGGGGGAACTAGCCGGCCTGGCCCCCTCCCCTACTTCACAAAATTTTTCAAAATTATAAAAAAAAAATTGGAGAAAAAAAGGAAATCATATAAACATTTATGTCTGAGAGTGCCATTCCCGAGGTGACATGATCATAATTTTTTCTACCTTACCCCCAACCGTGGTGGGGCTAACGTAGGTGCACTCTCTATATATGAAAGCCCCTTCCTGGGATCCCTCTATTTTGAATTCCTGTATCCGCCACTAATATCTATAATAATAGGTAAATAGGTCTATCCATTAAAGTATATAATAATATATAGTATATATATATATATATATATATATATATATAAGTTTTAAATATATAATATTAGGTCGTATATAATATACTATTATAAATGGTAATGAAATGCCCAAACAAATATACAATTGAACTTAGCTTATATAGCCTATTATGTTATACAGTAGATCCTACAGTATTAAATCCGGCAACTATTTTTATACCTCCCTAATTAAGCTGTTTTATATTAATATTAATGTAGATGTTTCATATAATTGTAGATGTTTTATATTAATGTAGATGTACAACCTTTATTGGCATAGACCTTCAACAGACACAGATAGGAAAATTCATGTATAATATATATAGGCCTATATATATATATACATATATATATATATATAATATATTATATTATACACATTATTGAATTAGGCCTATATATACATAAAATTTATATACGATAATACATAGAAAAAGACTAAAATTGTTTAGTAAAGCCTACAACGGCATTTAATTATTCCTTATAAAGATATATGCTATGAAGGAATATTAGAAAATAGAGTGCTAGACTATTTTATGTTCTTTAATGTTGTATTCAATAAATATAGAATAAAAATTGAATAGTATTTTGCGTATTTTTGTATTGTAACGATTTAATAGCGTACCTTACGGAAATGAATGCAGTACTCGTAATTATGTGATGTGCAACGGACCGTTACCTATTGTCATACTCTGCTGTGCTTCCTTATTTGGGTCTTCGACTTCCAAATATGAAAGTCGTGGTTCGCGTACTAGGAAATGCATTACTTCTTAGAAATGGTTGGGAATTACCAGTCCTGTAGTTTACTTGTATTTTAATGCGTTCCTGGTATTCAGCTGTTACCGATAATTAGGTAACGAAAAACAATCATGCTGCAAAAAATGTATAGAATTTCCGTTTTCCCCGGTGAATGATTCTAGCTATGATGAACCAGTTTGAGTTCATGGAAATATTAATTTTATTTTTAGGCCACCACTACCCCAACCTTTATCCGTCGTCATCTAATCAAATAATATCAGTGGCAGATTCAGTGGGCGCCGGAACCTACCAAAAATGTCAACATTATTTTTTGAATGGAGAAAAAAAGAAAATTATGTCCGAATTTTAAGTTTGAGTGTGCCATTTCCGGCCGGTCATCTAAAGGTTTTCAGCCCCAAACATGGTCGGGCTGGGGTGGTCTAAACCCTCCAACTGTGAAAGTCGACACACCCCCCCCCCCGGCCACC